GCTGTGAAACAACCACCGAGCAAGGAGTGTTTTTCAGCTGCCGACACACTCCATGTTTTTTGGGCGTTCCAACGGGAGGCGGTTCTTGTTAACTCGCAAGCGTCATTTGTGTTTTTCCGAACATGAACCATCGTGTGCGTGCGTTGTCGAATGCGTCGGCGAGAGCACCCTGGTTTACCATGCTTGGCGACTGACCGGGGATCCGGAACATGTACTACATGCAACCAGATCTCATCCGACTTCGTCACTTGAGCGGTCTGTCTTTTCTCATCTCTCGTCCAATGCGTTTGTCGCCCTCTGTTCCTTGGTCGCAATGGACGGATGTCGACAGGGGCCTCGGTTAGCGTTGCTAGAAGTGCAACAACAACGAACGTGGTGAGCCCTCGTGGCAGGGGTGGCGGTGGCCCTAGCAGCAGGGTAAGAGCGCGTAATGTCTCTGTTGTTGCTGTCGTGGTCGTCGTACTTGTTGCTGCTACTGCTGCTGATGCTACTCTTGATGCTGTGCTGCTGATGCTGATGCTGCTGCTGCTGCTGTTGACTAGTTGCTGCTGTTGTATTTTTTTTTGCTCGTGTTCCTGCTGTTGTCTCGGCATCGAGCGTTGCATCTCTCTACCGTATCACTGCAAAGCCCAGCTCCCTCTCGGCTGATGAAGAAAGCACAGCAGCAATCACACCTTTCAGTACATTTGCCACGTCCCAACGTGTACAGTCTTACACAGATTCAGCCATGCTTTGTATTGCCCTTTTTCTCTCCGTTTTTTCGCTCGAAGCGTTCCTGATTGTTTACCTTTTAAAGGTCACCTCTCATTTGTTTTATCCCTTTCTATTTTGTGTTTCCCTTCTTCAACGAACGCCGGAACATCAAATAGACGGAGATCGGCGGGAAAAAGAACGGTCGCGGCTTGTTTCGAAAGTTGGGGAAGATGTTCAACTCCAGAAAAGGCGGGGCCAAGCCTACCCTCACGCACACCGCGCCAGAGGCGTACTCGCGGAACGGAGCGGGCGGGTTCGTCGAAGGGGGCGCCGCAAGAGAGGGAAGGGGGGTGGGGGGTGGGGGGGGTCCTGGAGATCTGTCGGAGGAGGCCATTTACGGGAGAAGGGCAAGCTCGCACGAGATTATAGCAAGCAGGGCGCAGTCCGACGGTATGATTTTGAAGGACGCTGCTGCCCGACGATGAGCTAGCTTGTCTTTTTTTGTTTTGGGGAGGCATCTATCTGGGAAGGAAGGAAGGAATAAAACAGCACGTCAAGAGTATTATTTCTGTATTTTCTGTATCGTTTTTCGGTCGAATTTTGTCGGAAGAGGAATGTTTCTGTTTTCTTTTCGACGGGGGGGGGGGATTCTGGCATAGGGGAAGCTGGGATATCGGATGCATCGGCAGTAGATTTATGCCCGCGGGCAGGCGGGCGAGCCCCCTGTTTTGTGGGTTTGTGGGAAGGACGAGGTTCGTTCGTTCGGTGTTTGTGGTTTGTGGAGAGGCCGAGCAAGGTTGTTGTTGCTGTAGCGTCTCTCATCATCTCGTTTGCGAATGTACAAACAGGGCGCCGCCGCCGCAGTAGGGTGGGCGTGTTTGTCCCCGGTGGTCGCAATCCGACAAGAACAGCCAAAGCGTGGGAATCACCGGGCCGCCTTCTGTGCGTGCGGCCCCCACGGATGACGGGGTGTATCACCCCTCCCCCACTGATCGGCTTGTTTGGACGTACTGGTTCGCGGCAAGAGCCAAAAGGACGAGGGTGCGGCCTGGGTTTGAAGCATCTTGTCGAGATGGAGAGGCTCCGAAAGCGCGAGAACGTAACTGGCGGTTGTTGGTCGGCCGATCGTGTCAGTTGTCAATCATCGCGGCAATGTGGCATGTGGCAATGGGGGGATGGTATTTTTCGCCATCTTCTTTGGCTCTCGTGCTGCTTTTTTCGGCGGGCTGCGGGTAGGACTGAACTAGTTGGAGAATACCCTCCTCGCTTTGCGAGGCAGGGCGAGGCAAGGCGTGGGGTAAGAAAGGGTGTCGCCGTTTCGAAGGGAGACGTCTATTGCTAAGTGAACGTGGATGATTTCAAGAGTAACACATGTGATGGATGTTGTGTTAGCCTGGCAGTAGACCGACCGATGGAGAGGTGGGATAGCAGAGACGGGAAATAAATCGATGACGGAGGTGCGCGTGATAGTGCGGGTCACTCAAGGCGCGAATGCGCACGTGTGTCATGATGAAGACTGAGGCAGAAGGAGCACGCGTATGTGTTGTCTGGAAGCAGCCGGGTTGAGGACATTGAGATGGAGAGAGTAGGCTTGTTGTCTAGAAACAGCCGGCGTGAAAGGCAACCGTGTCTGGCACCACCCCACTGCTGGACGTCCCGTGAGCGCAAATACGTTCGGTGTCTCGTCGTCTGCAGCGCCGCAGGTAATGTAGTGGGCGGGGTTTCGAAAGTAGCACTACCCTCCTTTTTTGTTCAGAAGCTGACAGCACTATTAGTTGGGAACACTTGAATCGATCGGACGTCATGTCCATGGCGAGTCGGGCGAAGGAGGCAGTATAAAAAGCATGTGGTACGTTGGATGCACGCGCGCGGGGGGTAGGGAGGGGTGTTTTTTTGCAAGGCATGAAAGGCAAGAGGGGGGCTGAAAGACGGAAGGTCTGGCGATGTTTTGTGTGTGTGATGTTCGTGCGCTGGCAGGCGGGGGGACCAGAGGCACCCAAGGAAGAGTGGCGGCTGGACAACCGGGGGGGGTGCGCCCGTCATGTGACTGGAAGCCTTTCCCGTGCAGTGTTTGCCGCTGCTCGTAGCTCTCCCTATCTCCCTCTCTCTCGACTGCTACTGCTACTGCTGTTTGTTTGGTTTGCTGTCACCGTTTGGGTGTCGGTGTGTGGGTGTTCGGTGTTGTTTCGCGGGGTGTTTTTAATGTGTGAATCCCGTTCGTCGCCGGTATCTACAAGACGAGGATAGCTGCAGTCGACGGCGGCAGCGGCGGCGGCGGCGGCGGCGGCGGAGACACACCACACAACAACGTTCGCTGTGGCTGCTGCTGTCGCTGATTGGTCGACAAGATATCGCTGCCGCCTTTTGGAAGAGGCGAGACGTGGTGGGTGGTGGGCATGACGGAAATAGGGATAGGGGTTCGGGAGGGGGGCAGTCGCATGGGGCAAAAACAGAGCGCATGGGCGGGGGGGGGGGGGGGGGGG